GACAACATGTCGACAAAGGCGCACATCAACAGGCAGGGAGGAACCAGGTCGAAGTCCCTCTTCCGCGAAGCCAAGATGCTCCTGCAATGGGCAGAGCGGCATACGGCAAGCCTAAAAGCGGAACACCTGAGAGGCCTCTCCAATCTACAGGCCGACTGGCTCAGCAGGGAGGATCTAGATCCAGGAGAGTGGGCGTTGAACAAGGAGGTGTTCGTTCAGATCACAAGACGATTCGGGAAGCCGGTGATGGACCTCCTAGTGACGTCACGGAATCGCCAGGCGGAGTGGTTCCTGTCCAGATACCAAGATCCCGCGGCGGAGGGTATCGACGCGCTATCGCACCCCTGGCCACAGGGTCTCCTGTACGCCTTCCCTCCCACAGCCATGATAGGGGCAACCCTCAACAGAGTCAGACGGGAGAGAGCCATGGTTCTCGGACCTGATCCAGCTGTCGTCAGAAGAACCGTGGAAGTTGCCTCAGAGACCGGACCTACTCCAGCAAGGGCCCGTTCTCCACCCAGACCCGATGTGGTTGCAGCTGACTGCATGGAAATTGAACGGGCATGATTGACTGGCCAAGGGTTCCCCAAGGAAGTGATCGAGGTGATGCTTCAGGCTAAGAAAACCTCTACCCACCGCATATACAGCCATACATGGAGAACGTTTACAACCTGGGCGGCGAAAAAAGGCATACACCCCTTCCGCGCCACGGACAAGGAAATTATACTCTTTCTTTCGGAAGGGTGGAAACGGGGTCTTCGGCCAAACACACTGAAACGACAGGTGGCAGCCATACAGGCCTGTCTGGGTCGGGAGGCAAGGTGAAGGGTGTCTTCGAGCGCCTACGTAAAAAAGTTCATAAAAGGGGTTACTCAGGTGGCACCCCCAGTCCGACACAGATTCCCAGTGTGGAGTCTTCACAAGGTCTTGACTGCCTTGACACGACCTCCGTTCGAACCTCTCAAGACGACTGAACTCCGCCTCTTGTCTTGGAAGGTTGCATTTCTGATAGCAATAACTACAGCCAGGCGCGTATCCGAGCTCGCCGCTCTCTCGACAAGAAAGGAGCTCTGCATTTTTCAGAAAGACTCCGTCTCCTTGCGACTGGACCCATCCTTCATCCCGAAGGTAAATTCGGCCTTCCACATCAACCAGTCAATAACGTTACCGTCATTCTGCCCGAATCCGGCACATCCAAAAGAAAAAACCTGGCACAAGCTGGACGTACGTAGGGCCCTACATGTATACATTGACAGAACAGCTGGGTTTCGACAGTCGGACGCACTGTTCATGGCCTATTGCGCCCCAAACCAATGGAAGAAGGCCTCTAAGGCCACAGTGGCCTACTGGATTAAACAATGCATCTCAAGAGCCTATGAGGTACAAGGACTACCACCTCCAGGCCAGATCACCGCACATTCTACAAGGGCGGCAGCAACTACTGCCGCCTTTTCTACACGAGCCACGGTTGAGGACATTTGCAGGGCTGCTACCTGGAAGTCCTTCTCCACGTTCGTGCGGCACTACCGAATAGACCAGACAGCCTCGGCGGAGGCAGCTTTCGGTCGAAGAGTGCTACAACAGGTGGTAGAGCAGTAAATATACAAAAAAAAAAATAATAGACTTATTCAGTCGCCCACCCTAGAACCACAGCTTGGGTACAGCTAACCAGTTCCTGGATGACTTCCCCCCACTGAAGGAGAACGGTACATTGTACCTACCTGAAGGTTCTTTCTCTTCAGTGGGGGAGAAGTCATCCACATCCCACCCAAAATTGGATACCAGAAACGGTCCAGGGTGGCAAAAATGGTCTACATTAGGACATCGTACAAATGCCATGGATTGAATCAAGGAGATAACGTAAGAGTAATCCGCGGACAGGGCTTGGACACAACTGGAGAGGTCAGCCTAGGCCACTCCAATAGGAGCCACGCAACAAAAGAAATTTGCATAGCCTATCGAGCGAGCAGAGGCGTGACCTAACCAGTTCCTGGATGACTTCTCCCCCACTGAAGAGAAAGAACCTTCAGGTAGGTACAATGTACCGTTCTCTCCTATATTAGTTACTGGTTAAAATGACTGGAAGCAGAAAGGAGGAATAAATGAAGCTTTTTTTTGCAATGGAGAGGAGTATGCAGTGCAGTCCTCAAGGGATCTGTTTTGGAACTGATGCATAAATAAATGATCTGGAATTGGAGATAAGCACTGAAGTGGCCAAATTTATGACTCAGACCAAAAAAATTCCAAGATGATGAGAGCTAGCAGGATTGTGAAGAGCTCCAAAAGAACTCCCCAAATTGAATGAGTGGACAACAGAATTGTTAATGGGGGTTCTCTGTAAGTAAATTTAAATGATGCACTGTGGCTCTCCAGTTACCCATCATGCTGTTCCTGAGGGTCCTCTGTCCTCCTAGAGCAGTATTTCAGGATAGGAGAAGTGAAATGCTGTTCTGCTGAAAAATGCCTTCTGTTAGCACCAGAATCTATTCTGTTAGCAAAGTTATACTGGGGGATTCACGCCAAGAGGCTGGGGGATCTTCAAGTTAAGAGCAAGGTATTGAGGAATTTCAGGCTGTCTTCCAAGGAGCAGAAACGTTTTTCTTCTCTCTCAACTGAGCTGTAGCCTGTGTTCAGCTTCAACCCAATATTTCCTCTATCATTGCCCCTGCTGTTTCATCGTCATATTTTATTTTATTTATTTTGTAAGTTGATTAACAGGTTCTTACATATAGAAGAGAGCATTTAGGGCAGAGGTCATTTCGGGGGGGAACGCGGGGGAATGCAGTTCCCCCGGGTGAGGTGCAGGGGGCGGGGCACATGATAAAGCCCCGCCCCTTGCTTCCGGCCGCCCCGCTTCCAGCCCTCATTCAGCCAGGAGGAGGCAGGAGAAGAGGGAGGGTAAGTTGCTTCCTCCCCGCCTCTCCCCACCCCTGCCTGCCTGGGGCCAAGGAGGGCCTTGGCGGGGCTTCCTCGCACTCCCGCTGGCCTTGCAAGTCCACCGCCAGGCCCCTGATGTCAGGCGGTGTGGCATATGCTAATGAGTTATGCTAATGAGTTCCCCTAGCTCTTTTTCTACGAAATGACCCCTGATTTAGGAATACTTGTGTCCACAGCCTGTACCATTTTCCTATTCTAGAAGGTGCCAGTCATCACATCTCCAACATTTAAGAGAAACTGAATTGAACATTTCTGCAAGTCTAAAGGGTATAATGCCACCTGTGTAGCAACTTAATCACATTCTATTTAATCTACACATTCATAGTAGATGTATATATTATTTTATACAGCTTACACTATTCCTATGTTGACATAGTGACAGACAAGTCTCTTTCCCATTTTTCCTTAAATGATAATATTGTCACGGTCAGCTCCATACCCTATATGAAATTCCCAAGCCCTATATAAAATTCCTTAATTGTATATATTGGTACCCAGAGACTTCTTCTGGGTTACATATTTCTTTTGCTACATCGAAGGGCATAATTAGTTGAGTATTTCTGGAATTTGTTTACTTGGACAAACTATGTGTTATGCACACACTGAAATTACCAGTTCACCTGGCCATTTCAAAATAATGTTGATGAATAATCAGTTCCATTGGAGATATTAAAGGGCAAATACTTGGACAAACTATGTGTTATGCACACACTGAAATTACCAGTTCACCTGGCCATTTCAAAATAATGTTGATGAATAATCAGTTCCATTGGAGATATTAAAGGTGCGATTTGTGGTCTTATGTGTATCCCAAAATGTAATCAGTTCAGCTGTTACCACATTAGTTGTAGGTTCCCATTTTTCCCACTGCATATGATACCACAGTATCAATACTAATCTGTTGTATGTTCAGGTTATACATATTTCCTTAGCAGTAATGATAATCATACGTCTTTATAGTATGTCTGAATTTTGAAGTGCCTTATTTCCTGGTCCTGAGCTTCATAATTCCAAATAAATGTATTAATTACTGCCTAAATTTTATCGAGAAATTTTAGAGGGCCGTGAAGTGGGATACTAAGAAAATGCAAATACTGTTCTGGGTAATATTTTCATCTTTAACACTGCTGCATTTCTAAGACCTGAGATTTTAAACTTTGCCCATTTCTTGAGATCAGATTCTACTCTCAGTAGTATAGATTGCATAGTACCCAATAGTATATTCTCTATATTTATAGAGATGTAGATCCCCAGATATTTCACATCAGATTTTTGCTACATTGAGTTTGTTACTGAATATTTGCTATTGTAAGTATTCTGCTATACCTATAAAATTTCTTTTAATCATATCAGCCATTTAATAACTGCTAAGATTAATAAATGTCCCTAAATAGGCATTGCATATAATCATATGGGTACAATCTGTATGAGCAATTAAAAGCTTTTAATTGGTTTAAGATTGCATTCATTGTGTGAATTTTCTTTCTGGTGGACTGCTTCTGATCTTAAGCAGTGCATTAGCATAGTTGCCTGTTGAACTGTTAGACTTGGTTGCAACACAAGCATTACAAACTATTTTGTGGTGACATCATGTATCAGTTTTGATGCCTCATCCAGCACAATTAGTTTTCTGAATAATAGTACTGTGTCCTGAAATATCCTTTCTCCTTTTTTAAGTGGAGAGTTTACTTTTCTTTACTCTGGTTTCTTATTAGTGTATGTATTATATCTAGAAAAGCAATATTTTTTCATTGTATTATTTATTTTTAGTGCATTTTAATGCCACCCTTCGTCCAAGGAGCTCAGGGTAGCATACATGGTTTGCCCCTCATCCATTTCATCCTCACAACAGGTAGTTCAGGCTGAGAAGAGTGTGACTGGCCCAAAGTCACCCATCAGACTTCCACAGCTGAATGAGGATTTGAACCAGGGTCCCCCAGATCTTAGTTCAACACTCTAACCATGATACAGTGTTGTTTTTAGTTTGTGTACAGGTCACGCTGTTTAAGTTGAAATGTTTGCATTTATTTTTATAATTAAAACTTTTCCCCTTTGTTTTACAGTGAAATCTCATATTCAGCAAGGATTGATCTCTGTGGCAGCTCGTACTGTTATAACACATCTGGTAAACCATTTGGGCCATTATCCAATGTGTGGGGGTCCTGCTATGCTCACAAGTCAAGTATGTGAGAACAATGACAATCCTTACAGCGAGAGCCCTGAACTTTCTCCAGAACTTTTTGAGAATCCCAACCTCCAGTTTTTCGTACTAAATAATACAACATTAGTTTCATGTATACAAATCCGTGCAGAAGAGGACATGCCTGGAGGGGGATTGTCTGCTGGACTTGTATCGGCTAATTCAAACGTAAGAATTATAGTGCGTGACCTGTCTGGCAAATATTCATGGGATTCAGCCATTCTGTATGGACCTCCACCTCTCTCTAGCTCATCTGAGCCAACTTCTTTTGTCCTCTCATTACCCCATCAAGAGAAACAAGAAGATGCTTCAGAACCTACCACATATGTAGAAGAGCCATGTGTAAAGGATGGAAACGCACTCCAGGTGAAGAGGAGGTTTAGAGAGACAGTACCAACATGGGACACAATTAGGGATGAAGAAGATGCCCTTGATGAGCTCTTGCAGTACATAGGCATCGCTAGCCCTGAATGCTTGCAGAGGACAGGTGTATCACTCAACGTTCCTGCTCCTCAGCCTATATGTGTCTCAGAGAAGCAGGAAAATGATGTAATCAATGCAATCCTTAAGCAACACACAGAAGAAAGAGATTTTGTTGAAAAGCATTTCAATGACTTAAATACAAAAGCTGTGGAGCAGGATGAGCCAACCCCACAAAAACCCTGTTCACCATTTTACTATTGTAGATTACTTCTCAGTATTCTGGGAATGAATTCTTGGGATAAAAGGTAATAGTACTTTACTATTAAATACATGCTATTTTTTTGTCTTCTGTCATTCAGGACAAAGCTAGACATATTTTTTCAGTGGCATATGGTTGCCACTTAAAACAGGAGGCCCTCATCTGTTTCCTGACAGTGTCAGCTAATACAAAACATGTAAAGTTACTGCTTTGCATATTTCCACTGAATATAAACATATGCTGACTTCTATCAAGCATTTTGTATTATGAGACATTACTGGGCAGGGGAAGAAATGGAGGCACTGGGCTGCCGTTCTTGGCAGCAGCAATGACTCCCCCGTAATGTTCTGGCTCATATTTATTATAAAACCCTTGTTAATGTTATAATATGTTGACAATGCTAAACTGGGCCAATGAGGCCTTGTGATCAGTTTACAGGAGAAAAATGTTGACTAATTGGTGCAAGTGAAGGATGGTTTTTCTGCCATTTTTACCCCATCCTATGGAGGGCAGGGGGAAGGAGGCCAAGTTTGTTTGTTCTGTATTGCACTGATTTTCTGGTCAGGGAAAGACTGCCTGTTCAGTCCTTCTTGTCTCTTTGTTCTTAATCCAGACTCCCATATAGATGCATCCCTTTCCCCTAGCTGACCTGAATTCAGAAATACCATCAGTTTGAACTGTTTCTTGTGGACAGTATTTTTGTTTGATTGTGGTATATGTACAGTCTGTTACAGATCAACATGCAACTTTGTGAAAGATATGAACAGTGAGCAAATCAGTCCCTGAGTACTATTGTTCCACAGAATAAGCGTATCCAAATGTGCTAATTTTCCTGTTGCTATTTGATCTGTTGTAACCTCCCATGAAACCATTTTACAATGCGAATTCTGATCCTAGTTTACAATTATTTACTTATATCTGTAGTATCCAAAATGAAAATAGGTTTCTTAATACCGGTACGGGATACTTAATTAACCAGCCTTTCATCAAACACACTGGTGGTTTCATGAAGGAATTAGATCTCATTTTTTTGTAACATGTCTGCTCTTTCACTTGTGCACTGAAATTTTATTTTGTCAAAGCAGCTTGTTCTTCTGTTCTTAGAAGGCCGTCCTCTAAAATGTTTTTATGAGCAGTGCCATCAGTACCAATAATATGGAAGATGACTATTTTAGCATAATGTAATTAGGCTTTTAAAATTCTGTAAAGAATTTTGGGATATGTCTAGGTGCTACTTTACTCTTATATTGCTGCCCACAGTTCAGAGTTTTGTTTTTCCATCATTCCCCCCCCCCTTTTTTTTGCATTTGCTCTTTTGGCTGGTGTGGAAGTACCTTTTTATCACTAAGCAGTTATCGTCTGGCCTATGAAAGAGCAGTTTTTATGTGCTCCGAAGGGAGTCCTGTTTAGCCCACCAGATTAAATGGGAAGAAGTGGAATGAAGTGGGGATTATGTTCAGGGCACTAACAAGGATGCAGAAGACCACCTGGGATAAAAAATAACTATATGTATATATTATTTTAAAAAGATCTATTCATCTTTGATATAGAAAAAGGTCTTACAAAAGGCAAGAAAACTGTAGGAGATTGCATGAATGGAATTGAAAATGTGTTGTTGTGCTGTCCTATATCTGTCATTGCACACGTGATGTTTGTTAAATTTCCTTATTTAGGAGAAGCTTTCATCTCCTGAAAAAAAATGAAAAGCTACTTCGGGAACTGAGAAATTTGGACTCAAGACAATGGCAAGTTATGTGTTTATAATCAAGCTTTTAAATCAGTGTTGATCATTTTAATTTTGAAAGAATTTCTGTTTTGCCACATCCTTTTATAGCAAAAGTATTTTTGATGAGGGTGGAAATTTTGCCCATCCCAGTTGAAATTTGTGGAATTTTCCTCTAAATAATTGTCTTTAGAACACAGATACCAATACCTGTAGGTAATTTTAATTTAGCCATGTTTACTGGTTTTGTATGCAATTGGGCTGTAAAAGCCAGTTATTCCTTAGCTAAAGATAAAAATCATTGCTCAAGTCATCAGTGCTTTAAGAATGAAGCTGACTGCAGGTGAGGTTTCCTGTGAGCAAATATAACTATTTCCCTGAAGACTGAAAAATCAGAGAAAAGAGGCTTTCTCTAGAAGACATTTTTTCCAAGTCAAAAAGTGGTCTGTTTCTTTATAAATTAAATACCTGCTCTTGTTAGTTTACAAATTGTCACACAAGCCATTTCTAAACATATTACATGCAAACATTAAATATAAATTATCAAAAGAGATAGGCTATTTATTTCTTTTTTCCATTTATACTGTGTGGTTTCATATCTGCAAACTAGACTCAGATGAGTAAGAACAAATTCAGAGACAGGGACTCATTTGTTCCAGCATCTTCCCCATATATTTTTGTTAGGAAGAGTCCTAATAATATTTGCACATAGTTTATGGCTTTTTTATTAATCTGACTTTTAACTCACCGTCTTAGTGAGGCAATTATTTTGAACTATGGTTGTTAGCCATATAGATGGGCAACTGCTGAAAACATTTCTGATAATGTGTTTTTCCAGCAAAAATACATGGGAACAAGTAAATAAAACTGTACAAATGCCAAACAAGATAAAACCCTTGAGATGTATTTACACTGTCAATGTTGTAGCCCCTTTTCTATTTGCATATCTCATTCTTTAATGACTTCAGAGTACATTCTTATGTAATTGCAGTCATGTGTCTTACAGCCGAGAGACGCACAAAATTGCTGTATTTTATGTTGCTGAGGGACAAGAGGATAAACACTCCATCCTCACTAATACTGGAGGAAGTCAAGCCTACGAAGATTTTGTGGCAGGCCTTGGTTGGGAGGTATCTGTTCAGACTACTTTCTTAATTCTAGTTCGCTTTGTATTACCATAACAGTAGCAATTACTAAAGAATTAAGGGACCATTGTGCCCTATTGTCTAGATTTTAAAATAGCATATTCTCTCTCTCTCTCTCTCTCTCTCTCTCTCTCTCTCTCTCTCTCTCTCTCTCTCTCTCTCATATATATAATGGTGGCATGCTTCTGTCACAGACTGTAGAGTTTAGGCAGACAAGAAGTTACAGGTTCCAGCCACTTGCATGAAGCAGGCTTCCTCCTCACTCCCTATCAGATGCAATACGAGGAATACATAGTCATCAGTGTTTTCTTCTTTAGCTTTACTATTTCTCTTAAGTTCCTGCTTTTGCTTGGTTGATGGGAAGTGACTTAAATGTGGAGTGGAATTTTTCACAGCCATTATCTCTGAGAAACATGCTCGCATGTCCAGTAGACATGTTTGTGAAATCTGCCAGTCCTTGTTCAGAGGTTGTAGCTTATTTATTTATTCACTTTATTTATACCCTGCCTTTTACCCCGATGGGAATCAAAAGTGGCTTACATGTTCTCTTCCATTTTATCATCACAGCAACCCACTGACATAGGTTAAGCTCTGTGTATCGGTCACTCAGCAAGTTTTTATAGCAGAGTGGGGATTCAAACCCGGGTCTCACAGGTCCTAGTCCAGCATTCTAGCCACTACACTACATGCTGGTGTGCACTACCAGTAGATGGATTTCTTTTTCTCTCCTAATCCCTACTTTGGAGACAGGGTGGTAGTGCTGTTGTCCATTTGTGAACCTGTGATCCGTTTGGTGCCTAGAAGGAGCAGAGTCTGTGAGAATGGCCTGAAGTAGCATAAAGCATGCCATGGATTAAAGAGCTGGTAGAGGTAAAGGTAAAGGGTCCCTTGCTCGAAAGCCAGTCGAATCCGACTCTAGGGTTGCGGTGCTCATCTCCGTTTCAAAGCCAAAGAGCCAGCACTGTCCGAAGAAGTTTCCGTGGTCATTTGGCCGGCATGACTAAACACCAAGGCGCACGGAACGCTGTTACCTTCCCACCGAAGTGGTCCCTATTTATCTACTTGCAATTTCTTGCTTTCGAACTGCTAGGTTGGCAGGAGCTGGAACTAGAGATGGGAGCTCACTTCATCATGCGGCACCCGGGTCTCGAACTGCTGAACTACTGACCTTTCACCGCCTGCAGTTCAGCGTCTTAACCACTTGAGTCACCGCAGCCAGAGAGATAACTTGTTTATTTGAAAGGAAGACTAGGGTGTTGTTTTTTTTCACATGTGCCTTTCAGGATAAACGGGGGCATCTTAAATTTACATACAAGTTACAATTTTGTACAGTGATCTGAATAATTTGTGGACAAAATTGGGGGCAGTTGTCTTACATTCAGGGTTTTCTTGCTTTAGGTTAAATATGGTAAGTGCTCTCTTAGCTGACTTTAGACCACTATCTTTTTATCTTTAAAAAAAGCACATACCACCTTCCTGCTACTAGTCAAAGTGGTCCTAGTACAGTATAATACCTAAAAACAAAAACAGTATAATCAATATGAAGCAAAAGTAATAAAAACAGCAGTAAAAGGTGAGGGAAGGAGACAGAACAGGTAAATAGGATGGATTTAACCTGGTACCTAACCATTTTCAAATATGGTACCAAATGACCATCCTGTGAACAAGAGTACCACTCATGGTATCCACAGAAAAGCCTGTCTCTACTGCATACCCTGTAGATATCCACTTAGCTCATATGGGAAAAGTGAGCCTACTAAGCTATACCTGTAGAGGATTTCAACATGGACCAAGTACTCAGTTATCTAACAGATTCCTTAGTACTGAGTAGCCATCTAGTCTGTCATATCATCAGCTAGAAGCCTTATACCTTAATCATATGGAGCCTAGAACAGCTAAATATCTTGGTTATGGTTCTATGGCTGTTCACAGTTCCAAATATTGGAAGGTGCCTGCTTTGAATGTTAGAGGCATTCTATCACTTCTTTGCTTGAATCCCCCTCAAATCACAAAAAGTTCATTGGGTGTTGTTCTGCTACTGTTCTTTTGTCTTGAATAGCTGATCTCTGGATCTCACCAAAACTCTCAAGACTTTTGGTCAACAAACTGTATAAAGTTCATACTGAAAGCTGTTTGTTGCTGAGGAATACATAGCTTCAGTGGATTTCATGAAACTTTACCTCAGCATCACATTCCAGTCAGTGCATGGGATTTTTTTCCAGATTGCAGGGTATTTTAGCTAAAATCAACTGTGGGGGTTCTGAAGGGCTTGAGAGAATAAAACCTTTTACTGGCACCTGAAAGAATACAGATTTGGCTCCAGGAGAGGGAGGGAGCTCCAAAGTTACAGGCATCACCACTGAAAAGGCTTTCCTATGGTGCTTACCCACCTAGAGAAAGCTTCTGGTAATGGCCTCAGTTCTGGGCAATATAGGATATTATTTAAAAGGTGATCCTCCTTCCTGTGTTATATTCAGTAGAAGATAGATAAACTGACTACTACAAGAAGTCAATTTGTTCTTCAATTGGAGAGATTTTTCAGATTGCCCTGTTAATGGGCACATGTTTCTGAGACCACAGTCATCTTTATTCTTGCATGCTTTCCTAATGAGAAAGGCAGCCTAGTTCCTCACACCAGAGATAATACAACAAAATCTGATTTGTTTTTGTTTGAAGCATTAAAATATGCACAGAAATAAATAAGGACGTTCATCTGATACTACAGAAATTACAGTTAAAATGTTATTAGATTGTCAAATGACAATAACTTTTATATCTATATTGTAGCATTTTCATTTTTTCCACTTACAATCTGAATCCTCGGTACTTTCACCGCATCTTAAAATAACATTGTTCCATGTATTTTGGGCTGCTGCCTGCCTACAGCTGGTTGGTTTTTCTAGTTAGTTCAAATTAAAACTCAGCCATTTTAGCTTAACAAAAGTGGCATCAATGGAATTGAATCACATCTGAGTACTTTAAATGGTTCTTCTGTCACCTGAATAGTTTTTTCTTCCAAAGAAAGATTACCTAGTATGTGTTACACTTTTTAAAAGCATGATGTTGCCTGCTGTGTTTTAGGTGAACCTTACAAACCATTGTGGTTTTATGGGAGGACTGCAAAAAAATAAAAGTACTGGATTAACCACTCCATATTTTGCTACCTCTACTGTGGAAGTAATGTTTCATGTATCAACCAGAATGCCTTCTGATTCAGATGACTCCCTGACAAAAAAGGTAAGTGCTTTGAAATAACTGTCCTTTAGGGTGGCAAAAAATCCAGGGAATAAAGAACAAATTATTCCATTAAACATTTGAGATTTTATTAAACCTTTGAATTGATGATACCTTTGAGCTGATCTTGCCTTAACTCTTTACCACAGAAAGATCTTTTCATTGCTCATAATTTCTTGGTACTTCTAAGTAAGAGGAATAACAACTATGGCAGTCTGAAAATAAAATATAAGGAAGCATAATGCCAAGCAGAAACTCTGTTATGGAGATTCTAAACATTTTTGCTGAGTCTGCTTATATAGGTATTGCAGTGATTACACTGAAACTGTTTGCTTGGCTTTCCACTCATCTTTTTGGTGCTCTGTGTATTAGGGTTGCCAGGTCTGGGTTGGGAAATATCTGGAGATTTTGACGGTAGAGCCTGACGGGGGCGGAGTTTGAGGAGGGGGGTATAATTCCATAGAGTCTATCTTCCAAAGCAGCCATTTTATCCAGGTGAACTGAACTTTGTCACCTGGAGACCAGTTGTGTAATAGTGGGAGATCTCCAGCCACCATTTGAAGGTTGGCAACCCTACAGTATGTACGCATATGCGAGCATATAAATGCATCTGTTCCTCCACACAGGAATTCCGAATTTAGGTATATTGACTTCTTCACCACACTTACATACTCAGCAATGTACACCCTTTCCTTAGTTACAGGTAAGGAAAAAAGGAGTAAGAATATTGTTCAGTGGCTTCTGTGCAGTTCCACATGGGACTGCATGATTGCAGGCCAGTCGTGGAGAAGAGTTTCCAAGCTTTTAAAGAATATTCTAGCTGTTAGGAGTGCTCCCCCTCCCCTGCATCTACAGAGATCCCTTTCCTGCCCAAAGGATCATGTGACAGAGGTGGGGAGAGTACTCTTCTCTCAGTTCTCTTCTTGCTGCTGTGAGGAGAAGACTAGCTTCCTTGAACTGCTTCATTGGTTTATCCAAGAGTTGATTTGAGCAAAGTTTTTCCACAAAAATCAATCAATAGAACTAGTAGGATGGCCTAATAAATGTGAGGATTGTGGGTCCAAAATGGCCCAGAGTGACGATCATAAATCATGTATTCTATGTTGGGGAGAGGGCCACAAAGGCCCAAGAAGGCCCAACCAACTGTGATTAGATCGTCATTGAAACTGCTGCCAAAAAAAGCTAAGAAAAAGACCAAACATTTTCACTGGAGCCCACCCCGTGACTGATTGTCTTCATCTTGGCGCTGATCAGTCTCCCCTCGAGGTCAACAGGCTCTGTCTTCCAGAGGTCAAGCTTCACCATCACCTTGGGATCGACATCAATGCCAGCGGGAAATTCACCGCAGAATCAAGGCTTGACACCAGCAATCTTTAGATCAAGGTCCCCCAGACACCATGCTTCACGTACTGGAATCAGTGTTGAGCTGTCATCACACCCAAAGATGCCTTTGCCATCAAGACATGCTGCTTGGTCCCTGAGGTCATCGGAGGATGAAATCTTTGAAGTGCCACCATCTGCTCCCTCTACAATACACCAGAGCAAAGGACAAACAATCCAACAGCTGCCTTTTCAGTGGCCACCTCAACAGAATTCTTGGTTCACTTTCCCTTTATGATGCCACCCCAATGGGGACCATGGGGACCTCCACAAGGCCCCTGCCCTTGGCAACCTCCAAAGCCAATCACCAGATCCAAAGGTGAGCACTGTCCACAGTACCAACCAGTGGCAGAATCTTCTAATCAAAGTCTGACTTGGAGGAAGAATGGCACTAAACTTTGGAGGCAGGTTCTGAGAGCACATCTATGCCTTCCCCTGATGAGACAGTGGGCGACCCATCAGTAGTTTCCCCCATGGAAGACCTGAAGCTGTACTCTGAATGGCCAAGGCACTAGAACTCAGCCGAGCCACGACCAACAGACCCAATAACAAAAATTTTATATAATTTTATGTAATACTGACTCTGGTCCCATCACTCTTCCTATGCTTCAGGGTATACAGGATATAGCCATGAGTGTTTGTACTAAGCCTGCCTTCACTCCAGCTTCAGCAAAAAAAACTTGAGGCCCTATCCAAGGTTAGAGAGGATGACTGTGACTATCTCTTCTGCCAGCAACAAGTGAACTCTCTTGTGTAAGAGGTTTCCCTGCCAGAGTAAGAGCAGGCAACCATTCCTCCCATTTGGAGGAAGGCCTGAGGCTGGACCATTTGGGAATGAAGATTTATTCATCTGTGTCAAACTTTACGGTGTTTGATACAGTTTGTACAGATATTGTCTGATGACAAACAAGCCCTAGCTAAACTTCTGATATCAGAAGGGCTTCTGCAAGCAGCAACTCCATGCAGCCAGGCATATTGCCAAAGGCAACAGTAGGGTGATGGCCTCTGGCATACTTTATTTTTTACATTTATTAATCCCCCTATCCCAGCTTACCTCAGAATCAAGGCTTGACACCAACAAAGTGTGCTTCAGTAGTCATTTCTTATCTAAGGCTGAAAGGATGCACAGTTTATCCTTACCTTGACGACTGGCTCTTTGTAGATGATTCCCCAGACAGACTAGCTGTGAATCTTCAATTTGCTCTCAACGCCTTGCAGGACTTAGGTGAGATTTCTCCCAGTTAATAAGAAAACCTATTTCTTGTCCCGTCCACTGACTTTATTGGGGTGCCTATTGATTCTCCTGAGGGGAAAGCATACTTGCCTCGTCAAAGGGCTAACACTGTTCTGGCACTAGTCAAGAGATTTCTGTCTAACAGATTCCAGCCAGCCTTATATATCCAAAAGCTTCTAGGCTACATGGCTTCAAACACCGCCATGGTGCCATATGCAAGGTTCCACTGCAAAACTGGTTTATAAAGAAATTTGATCCCAGTATCGAGCCTCAATGGAAGAAATTATTGGTCCCTAGAACTATCTTAAGATCCTTAGTCAGGTGGTCTGGGTTAAATATGTTCAACTGGGGATACAATCCCATGACATACAGTTGTTCTCTGACGCTTCCCTCATGGGTTGGGGAACTCACTGTGAAGGGTCTGAAGTGAAGGGTGTATGGTCTGAGCGGGAATCTAGACTCCATATTAACTTGTTAGGGTTGAGGGCCATCAGGCATTCTCTTACTTCTTTTACAAAAATCACCAGAGGATGACATGTCCTGCTAGCTGCAGACAACATCACGTCAAAATTTTATCTAAATAAGCAGGGAAGCACAGGATCTGTTCATCTCTGCAGAGAGATGAAGCACATCTGGCAATGGGCAGTAAGGCAGAGAATCCATCTGATGGCCATTCACATAGCTGGTCATGATAATGCCTTAGTAGACAAATTAAGCAGAGACACAGACGTGAACCAAGAGTAACAGAATGCTACCTGTCTCCGATTTTCAGGGAATGGGGAGTAGGGGTATGCAATTCACTGCCACAGGAAGTGGTGGCGGCTACAAGCATGGACGGCTTCAAAAGGGAATTAGATAACCATATGGAGCAGAGGCCCATCAGTGGCTATTAGCCACAAGGTATAGATAGGGGCTCTGTCTTCTTGGTGCTTGGGGGGGGGGGGTCAACAGTGGAAGGGCTTCTAATGTCCTGGCCCCACTGGTGGACCTCCTGATGGCACCTGGTATTTTTGGCCACTGTGTGACAGAGTGTTGGACTGGATGGGCCAATGGCCTGATCCAACATTGGCGTCTCTTATGTTCTTATGTTCTTATTTGGATCTACCCACGCCAAAAATATACACAAAAAATACCTTACTGGGTAGATTTTAGCATCCTAAATGCATCCAGGTTTTCTCAGGAAAATTAAAAAAAATCCAAAAAAAATTCTGGATATATTTGGGAATTACTGGGTAAATGTGAAAACAGTGGAGAGGCTGGAGTAAATTGTTCCGGCCTCTCAGCTGTTCATCGGGCTTCTGTGGCAGTCCCTTTCAAGCTTAAAGGGACTGCAGAATACAGCTTGAGGATCAGCTGTGTCGGTTGGGAGCAGACTTTTCCTGCAGGCTTGGCTTGGTGCTGGCTTCTCATGCAGACCAGTTTAAACCAGGCTGCAGAAGAAGCCAGCCCTAGGATCATCTGTGCAGATTGCTCCTCAGAGGCTGGGCTTTGCGCTGGCTTCTTCTGCAGCCTGCAGTTTAAACTAGAGTGCAGGAGAAGTGAGCCCAGCCAGGATCTCCTGTGCCACATGGAGCAATGTGCTGAGTGCTCCATGCGGCACAGCAGCTCATGGAGCTCACGTATCCTGCAGACCGGTTTAAACTAGAGTGCAGGAGAAGGGAGCCCAGCCAGGATCTCCTGTTGTGTGGAGCAGTTCCTAGGTCTAGCTTCTCCTGCAGCCCAGTTTAAAACGGACTGCAGGAGAAGCAAACCCAGCCAGGACTTCCTGTGCCCACAGGGAGTAGCCCAGGATTGGGCTGGCTTTTTTTTTAAACTGGTATTTTTCTTCTTGGATCTATTGGACCCCCCCCCCCCCCGAAAAAAAGGGCATTTCTTTAAAAGTCTCAGATCTGAATACTGTACTGGTATTGGATCCAGGATTTTTCAGAAATGCTAGAAAAATGTGGGGTCCAATAAACCTGAACTAAAAAATACCAGTTAAAAAAAAATTGCACATCCCTATTGGGGAGTCCCTGAGATAGATCTCTTTACATCCACAAACAATACCAAATTCCACCTGTTTTGTTCTAGGGCAGCCCTGCACAAAAAATCAGTTGGGGATGCTTTCCAGTTATGATGGCATGGCCATCTGTTCTGTGGTTTTCCTCCTTTTGAGATGCTGCACAAGGTGATATCAAAACTAAAAGTAGATGGGACCTCGTGCATCCTGGGCCAGAAGGGTGCGGTTCCCCACACTGTGGAAGTTAGCTAAAGGGGTTTACAGGACCCTGCCTCCAGCAGATGACCTTGTTCACATAGGGCTGGTCCATCACCCAGATGTGAGGTCATTACATCTGATAGCAATTAAAGGATGCTCAGTGTTCTCTGCTCCTGAATCCAGAAGGTTCCT